GGAGGAGAGAGAGAGAGAGATGGTGGTCGGAGTGGGGTCGAGTAGTTGGTCTAAGGAGTACAGTGGGAAGATGACTCCATTTGTGCTATTTGCATGCATAGTGGCGGCCACAGGAGGTCTCATCTTCGGTTATGACATCGGAATTTCAGGTAATTTACTGCATCACTTTCTTTACCCACACATGTAGAGAGAGAGGGAGAGAGAATTAGAGAGAGAGAGGGATTTTTGTTCACATCTCTAAGGTAAGCATTGGGGCGGCAAGAAAGATAAACAAAAGAAAAATGCATCCCTCTTCACACCATTCTCAAAGGGCAGAGGTCATCTTTTGTCTTTTTGGGTTGATAATCATCCCTTCCTACAAACCAAAAAAACAAAGGTAATCTCAATTTAAGAGTGTTTTCAATTATTATTATTTTTTTTAATTCAGTGGGGAAAAACAAACCTCTGAAAATAGTTTAAGAGTTAATTTTTTGAAGGTGTTAGTGACTGTTTTTTTTCAAATAGTTTCGGAGTTGGTGTTTTTTTTAAGGGTGGACTGAATGAAACCCCGGTGACCAAGGTGTGGGGGTGCTACCATCACGACTCCGGCCCCTTTCCCTGTTTTCAATTACAAGAATATCTTTGATTTATTTCAAAACTAAATGAGGTTAATTTGGTCACCGATTTAAAAATTAAATAATGTTAATTTGGCCATAAATACCCATTTAAAAAACAAAAAAAATTAAAAAACCAATTTTAGCATGAAGCCCTGCCTAGTGCAAACACGCAAACATTGAGGCCCATGAAAATCCATCTTTTTAGTGGATTGTGAATTTCTTTCAAATTACTAGTTCAGATCAGATTCCATACGAAGCATTTTCAAAGCACCAAATGCATTTCTTTCACAGAAAATGAATACCCCCATGGATGCTTTTTTCTGGGAAAATGTATACCATGCTTTTAGACATGGTCCCTCCAATACTTTAAATCACACAGCTAATCTAACTACCACTTTTTTTCAGCCCCGTCCAGGGAAGAGAGTAGCTTAGAAATGCCCCCCATGTATAAGCCCATTATTCTCTCAAAAAAAATCTGAGACAGTTTCTCTTTCTAAAATTGGAGATAATTTCTCTTTCTAAAAATGCTTGATAATGTCTCTCTACAAACTTGAAATATTAAATAATCTCTATAAAAAATTTAAGACAATTTCTCTCTCTAAAATTTCAAATTTCAAGCCTTTAGAGAGAAAATCGTGGATATATACGTAAAGGGTGTTTTCATTTAAAACAAAGCTATTTTTTTTCTTAAAGGGTGGCTGCAAAAAATAAATAGTAATTGTGTGTTGGGTGATTTAAAAAGTACTAAGATAAAACTATGCCTAAAAAGCATGTCCCAAGGTGTACAGATTTTTCCCTTTTTTTGAGGACACAAGATAGGTTGCAACCCTAAACAATCAAATCAAAGCGTACCTCCAAACTTTATCGTGAGATGCAATTTTGGCATTGGAAATTCTTATGATGGTGTGAGAATTTATTTTTATCTTTAAATATACAACTTTAAACTCCGAAAATGGTTTGAATTAAGCATATCAATAAATACATAAAAATCTTGAAAATGAACCATCCAGATAATGTGTTGTAATATATAGTATTTTTAGAACTTGAAATGTCTGTTTTTTTTTCATATCTATACATCACGATGTCGAGATGAGGGTTTTCAACAAAACACCCTTTTGCCAATGATTTTGGGGGTGCCCTTAATCTTACCTTTTTTTAGGCTTCAACTTTATGTAAACTTTTTCCAACGATGGGTTTATAGAGTTATTGGTCCGCAATCTTCCCGGAGCAATGGGAGAAATGATAGGGAACTATACGTTTTCTTATTGTTTAAAAGCCTGGATTTGCTTGATGAACTGGCTTCTTACTGGGCCCATAATGATTGACAATTCCCAATCTATACTAGCAGAGAATATTGAAAATACTATTTTTGTATTTAAAAAACAAAAATATAAAAATAAACAAGGTGGATTCAGCTGATTAGGATAGCCAAATTCCTTGACAGATTCGTCCAATTCTCAAACAAAATCGAGCATATCCCTCTAATGAGGAATTGTTCCTAATCCAAATAAAAGACTAGGTCACTCTCCCATCAATCCCAAATCGAGCGACTAATTCCGAATCCATAGCAACAATTTCCAAATAGTGCTTTGACCAAACAACTCAGTTCAAAACTTCAAATTTGCGACCTGACCATCATCAAAGAAAGAAAAAATACGTGTTCTTGGTCAGAACTTCAAGTTCCAATCCTTTTTTGAACAAAAAATTGGGCTCAAGACTTGGCGTTCCAAATTAAAAACAAGGCCAAAAAAAAAAAAAAACCGGTTCCAAACTTGGAGTTCTGAAGCAGGATGGAAAAATAAAAAAAAAATTTAAAAAAGGAGGAGAACTGAGCTTTACATGTAAAATATAGAGGTCATATTGTTACTATACCATTTAAAAAGAGGTAATTACAAGAACTTTCCTATTAGGTAAATACAAAAATATAATAACTTACTTGTTAGATATTATAGGGACTATCTCTAGCCATACTCAGTTTTTTAGCGGCACACGGTTTCTTAGGCCAAAGTCTAAAAAACACAGCTCACTGGTTCACGTGTTCGACCCTCGCTAATGACAACTGAGTCAAGGTCTGAGTTTGTGAATTATGGTTATTTCCACCATTTTTTAAATTTAATTAACCTCAAATTCGCCAGTATTTCAGCTATAGAACTTTTATAGTATACAAGAAAAAGTTTATATAAGGTGGCACCCTTACTTGTTGAAGTAATGTCAGAGTAATCCACATCGCCCATTTCAATCAGAAGGCATAAGTTTGACACCATCTTAAAAGACATACCAAATTTTGATTTTGTCTTGAAAGACTGCCAGATTTTGACACAATTAAACGTTCACGCTTACACTGTCTAACTATTGGGCAGTAGAACATTACTACTCTGTTAAACTATAGCGGGCAGTAGAACATCACAGCTTTAGTTCTACAAGTAAGGTTGCCTTTTATATAATCCTTAACCGTTTGTATTAAGAAACTTGGATTTTAAAACTTCGACCCGCACCTTCTTGCAAAATGATGAAGTTCAATGGCGTCACATACAGGGGGTGTCACTTCTATGGGGCCTTTCCTCGAGAAGTTCTTCCCTGAAGTATACAAAAAGATGCAAGAGGATTCAATAAGCAGCAATTACTGTAAATTTGATAGTGAACTCCTGACGTCTTTCACTTCTTCACTGTACATTGCCGGACTCATCTCCTCTTTCTTTGCGTCATCTGTTACGCGTGCGTATGGTCGCAGGCCTTCTATTCTGATTGGTGGTGCTGCATTTCTTGCTGGTTCAGCGCTTGGGGGAGCTGCCATGAACATTTATATGCTCATATTCGGGCGTGTTTTGCTAGGTATTGGCGTTGGATTCGCAAACCAGGTGACCTCTCTCTCTCTCTCTCAAAAACAATTTTCTTTTAAATAAGGAAAAGTACACTATGATCCATATGACTGACCATAGAGAATCTATAATCATAGTTGCTAATCACCCATAAATCAATGGATGGAGGGTGATAGAGAGAGAGGGATCTAACATTTAGGTCATCTCATGTTCTTCTACATCCATCCATTGATTGGAAGGTGATGACACTGATGACCGTTGATTTTCTATGGTCGAATCTATGATCATATGGGTCATAGAATAGTATCCTTTGACAAAAAAAGCTCTTTAAACTAAGAACAAGAAGACTCTAAGACTTACCAAGAATTTTGATGTTGACACTTGATTTGGTACGAACCCGCCCATTGATCTAATCCATTTTGTAGGCTGTCCCACTATACTTGTCAGAGATGGCCCCACCTCGATATCGAGGAGCCATAAGCAATGGCTTTCAATTCAGTGTTGGAATTGGTGCTCTTGCGGCAAATCTCATTAACTATGGCACCGAGAAGATATCTGGTGGATGGGGGTGGCGAGTCTCCCTAGCCTTGGCTGCTGTTCCCGCTTCCCTTCTCACTGTAGGCTCCCTAATCCTCCCTGACACCCCCAATAGCTTGATCGAGAGGGAGGCCTCTCACGATAAGGCAAAAATGATGCTCCAGAGGATCAGAGGAACTACAAATATAAACAACGAGTTTGAAGATCTCATCCAAGCAAGCAAAATCTCAAAGAGCATTTCTCACCCATTCAAGAACATACTGAAGAAGAGGTACCGGCCCCAATTGGTCATGTCAATTGCTATACCATTCTTCCAACAAGTTACTGGGATCAATGTGATTGCATTCTATGCACCCCTTCTTTTTCGAACAATTGGGTTTGGAGAGAGCGCCTCTCTTATGTCTGCAGTGGTCACAGGGCTTGTTGGGACCATCTCAACATTCATTTCGATGCTAACTGTTGATCGTTTTGGTCGGCGTACATTGCTCTTGGTGGGTGGGGCTCAAATGCTTGTGGCTCAAATGATTGTAGGTGGGTTGATAGGGGCAAAACTTGGTGACCATGGAGAAGGGCTGGGCAAAGCGTGGTCTTATTTTGTTTTAGTGATGATAGGTTTCTATGTAGCCGGGTTCGGATGGTCGTGGGGCCCACTTGGGTGGTTAATCCCTAGTGAGATATTCCCTTTAGAGATCAGATCAGCAGGTCAGAGTATCAATGTGGCGGTGAACTTCTTGTTCACATTTATAGTTGCGCAAACATTTTTGGCGATGCTTTGTAGGCTTAAGTTCGGGATCTTTTTCTTTTTTGGGGGTTGGGTGGCGGTGATGACTTCATTCGTGTACTTGTTCTTGCCTGAGACAAAGAATGTTCCAATAGAGCAAATGGGTTCGGTGTGGAGAGAGCACTGGTTTTGGGGGAAGATGGTCAAGGAGTCCAAGGCCGGTGCTATTGAGCTCGAATGATTCCACAATTGATGTCCATCAAATGGGTTAGGCAAGATCAATGCCAAGAGGAAGAAAGAGTAGGGTGTATTGACGAAGCTAACCTTTAAACAACTGCTGAATGCGTGGTGCTAGCATGAGGTTGAATGTGTCATACAAGATCCATGCATGTTGTCTATGTCCTTCATAAATAAGGTTGCTTGAGCTGCTCCATGCTTTCAAACAAAGCAAACATGTGAGTCCTATATGGTCATCCATACGTATAGCCATGTATTATGTCTATTCTACTTCCATACATGCATCTTGTGGGCATGTGTACCGAAGTATTCTATAATTTATTGCCAATTCTTCATGGGTTACTACCAATCAAAAAATACTTTTCAGCTCTTTACCGCAGCACAAAACCAGATAAAGCCTTCACAGATATCAATGCTCCTCAAAGAATTGATCCTTAGTAATGATTCAAGTGACTCATGTTACATGGCTCACTATAAATATCCATGCATGCAAAAGCGTGTGAGCACACACAAATGCACACTTGCATGACAAAATATGAACATGAAAGCTTTGAACTCTATGGCATGAACAAAGCATATTTAGACTCACTAAAAGTGACTTTGCCATATCCAACCACGGGTCTAACATTAAGTTAAGCTAACCAAATTTTAAGATGATGGCAATCCACAACTCTACACTACAAAAGGTGAGCAAACTATTTTGAAGGAAAATAAATGTCACCAGTAAGAAAATTCCACCACTGGTTGGAATAGTGGTATCTTTAGAGGCTCCACAGGCCACACCCTCTTTTTCTCAAACTATCGGGCAATGCTGATTCAACTCTGGCAGAAGCTCTCCCCCTCCTCGAAAGTCTCAGGAACTTCAACCCAAATTGGAGCTCAATTTTGGTTACTGAGGGGGACTCCAAAAGGTCATTGCCTCGGCCTCAGGATCTTCTCCTTGCCCTTGGAGACTGCTCCACACTTTTGATGAAATATTCTATATTTGCAGGGCGATGCACATCCCAAGCCAATTCAGCTGGAGACACCCTCACTAAGAAAGAAGCTTCGCAGAATGGCATGCAGGGAACTATAGAAGCACCCTTTTGATTTTTTGGCCCCCGTGTAGTTAGCCTTTGCTGTATTTAGCTTTTGCTTATATCTATGTTGTACAACATTTTTTGAGCTACCTACCATTTTTTGCTAATGTGGGCTTCTTGTATAGAGCACCCAGCATGTGGGATGCCAATATCATTGTACTTTGTTTTACTCTATCTTAATACAGATGTTACGGTTTCGAGGGAAAAAACAACATTCCACTGCTGCCAAAATTACCACTAATATGATACAAACATTATGTAACAAGAGGTATTTGGCTGTAATCCCATAACATACATGAAAAATGTCATTTGAGAGAAATTCATAGTATTGTATTAAAGAAAGTCACAACATTTAAGAAAATGTTTTGCGGAGGGAGAAGAGTGATGGACCTTGCCTCATGATAGATGTCTCCCCTCACCAACTGTGCTCGTGAGATTGAGAGAGAGAGAGAGAGAGAGAGAGGAGGACGAGGAGGAGGATTTTATATGGCTAGGACAATTTAACAATGATAGTTTCATAAGCTTTAAAGTTTAGAACAAGATACTTCATTTCTCAAAAACTACACCATTTGGATAATGTTTCTTTCCTCAAATTCTGACAGTTTATTAATTAGTCAGAAAAAGCAACCATACTTTTAAGGCTAAAAATTAAGCAAGTTTAGAATAAGGTCCTTCGCAAACATGTTATAATACAGAGATTTGGCCAGGCCTTCAAGGTTTTTACAATCATGAGTTAATTACTTGGAAGGAATTGCATAAATGGTTATAATAGAGCAGTATTAGAGTACAAGAGTTCAAGCTCACAGTATACCAGATTCATGCCTATCCTCTAGCCATGTTCCCTGACAACTTTCTTATCAACCTGAAGAGTAAGTCAACCAAAGTCGCTTCTTCAGATAGTCCCCACTGCGAATTGGAGGAAATCTGCCACCGGTAATAGAATCAAGTCAGGCAATTAAAACCAAGGGCAAACTAATGTGATTGGTTCTTTAAAAATCGATATAAGTATGATATTGGTTTCAACATTTTAGCAAACCCACACCCAGACTAAAGTAGCCCTGCTGAGTACAGCATACGCCAAAAAGACTTATCTTTGAAAGTACATTAGCTACTGATTGGCCTTTAAATGTCTCACATGGAAGAAAGCTCTCCCTCTCTCTCTCTCTCTCTCTCACACACACACACACACACACACATACACACACGTGCACACACACACAACGAGAAATTCAAAGGATAAGTTTCTATTATGTCCCCCTTGATTCCAAGCTAACAATACCATGAGCTTTACTGAAAAGGAATGAAATTTGAGTAAGAAAAGGAACCCGGAATGTCAAAGAAAAAGATAAAACCCAGCTCAACAATAAAATCTGCTCTTTTAACATGATTATGTCATGGATGCTGATAACATAGCAGGAAAAAAATAGATAAGGACGATGGACATAAAACATGAATCTTTATCAGTATTGAAATGAGTACATAATAAGATAAAAAACAAAGGGTAGAAACAAACAATGTGCTACCTTGCCGGAATTGTCTCAGAGCAGCAACTTTCCAGGCACTCCACCAAACAGTCAAAATTTGGATCTAAGAAAAATGCCACCTGAAATTTTGCAATGTAAATCATTAGAATGACAATGACTTTAAGAATTGCTTAATATCAAAAGTATTTGAGGTAGATAATAACTGCACAAACAATCGACAAAATTAAGTGCCCAGGAATTTGAGAATTTGTGGATCTAAGCACTAGCTAAAACCAAAGTTTTTCTTCATCTCTCAAAGTATTAACTTTTACCTTTACTCAGGAAGCTTTGTCTTTTAGATGATATACTGTTTATATTGCTGCCAAGTTGAAATTAGAACACTGATATTATTTTTTATATAGAATTTTTTCAGTAATCATACTCTACATATTTTATAATTTATAGAACACAATTTTTACAGAAATTTACACATATGTTCCCTAAATTATCGTACTATAAAAATCCCCTCATTTTATTATTATTATTATTAATGTTCATACCCCTTTTCCCAATGCCGCCACTTCGGACCTTCAAGGTAGGAAGTGATAACTTCGGACCGATGTCCATATGAAAGTTTTTTACTATGACTTTACAGGTTCGAAGTCCCGTCAAGTTCCAAGTGATCTGCAGGGTTCACTTCGGATCTTCAAAGTCCGCAGTGAATGTTCTAAGTATTGTCGTGATTGGACTTCGGACCTAGACGGTCCAAAGTCAAGAAGTTCATAGGTCCAAAGTGGTAGCGTTTTAGACATAAAAATAAGAAAAGATGAAAAAGGGCTACAAACTTAAAACACAAAAAATTGAGGGGATTTTTATAATAATGGACAGCTAGGGGAACATGGGCATAAATTTCTCTAAATTTTACTCCATGTAGCAAAAAGACATTAGAAATAATCCACTTACTGAATATCGTTCTTGACCACTTGCGATTACTCTGTGTAACGTTGAACTGCAAACAAAATCAACAAGAACGGAGAACATAAATTATGGTTTAAATAAATAATATGGATAAAAAAACAAAACCAGAGGCATGAAAACTATAAAATAGGACTAGGGAAAGGAAACCCCAGCATATTGCAAAGGAAGTTCAAATACAAGGTTGTACACTAGCATTTTACAAAAAAAAAAAATATTCTTCTAAATCTAAAACTACAAAAAAAAAAAAACTAAAACCCAGAAGTTAACTTGTGCAAGGGTCATACAATTATACTTTCAAGTAGGTGAGGGATTTTGAATATTATTGCAGAAAACAAGAGTAGTTTGGCACTTTCTGGGAAAGATTCAAGAAGACATGGCAGATAAATTTGAAAGTATTCAAAAAGGCTAGGCAGAACCAGTTAGAAAATGAGAAAAAGAAGTTCAATATTGCTGGGATATTTCAGACACTTCTAGATAAGAGGATTGAATGGAGAAAAAACAAAGGAATGTCATATTTATAATTATTTCTAACAAAAATGAGAAACTAGAGGAAACGAAAAAGAGGAATTCAACAAAGCCCAAACAGATGGACTTTACAAATCCAGCTTATCGACAAAGGGCGACAAAAGAAGCTCTTTTTGCAAAAATGTTATGTATCTTATGTTCGGGCTAACAAATGACGCAGAAGAAAAATTCAAAACAAAAAAATGGTATTATCATTTTTATTTTTCTTAGGGATAGTAAGTGATTTGTTTGGGAAGGTCTATTTTTTTAGTTTAGAGAATAACATATAGATAAGGTAAAGATCTTTTGGTTTAGGAAATAATAAGCGGTAGTTATCTTTTACTCTTAGAAAGACTAATGTGGAAGTTAGAATGAGAGAAAATAGGGATGGTAAGTGAGACAGAGAAAAGGTGAGAGAGAAAATAAGGAGGACAGATAAAATAGGGGAAAGTATGTAGAAGAGAGAGAGAATTATCATTTGTGGATTTTTTCTTTAAGGTTAATTTAAAGGGAGATGTCCCTTCATTGTAAAGGATCAGATAATGATCAAAGAATGAGAACTGAGAAAAGTTGATCTTGTGAAAAGATATAAATTGATAAAAATTAATCTTGTGAAAAAATCTTAATTGAGTAAAGTTGATCTTGTGAAAAAATCCTCTTTGGGGTGGACTCCCTTGAAGACCTTGAGAGAGTGTAAAATCTCTTAAACTTTTATTTTATTTTTATTTTATATTTTATATTTTATATTTTATTTATTTTTATTCTCTCAACTATTTTTTTTTTTTTATTATTCCAGTCACTTTTTCTCCCTACATCAATTGGTAAGCAAGTAAGATCCAGAGATCCAACAGTTACGATGTCGTCGAAACTTGCTCTTACATTCGAGGATATATTATCGCAACTCATGGATTATATGGGTCAGCAAATTCAAGATAGCTTGAATATAGCGTTGGAGGGTAACCGATGAGAAATAAGTGAAACCAATCAAGGGATGCAATGGTTGGATCTGAGGTTGCAACGATTGGAGGACACCATTCATCAAGAAGAGGGTGCTCGCAACCTCAACTTGGCCACAAATGTCACCGTACAGACAAATCAAGCTTCCCGACCGACCCAGGCTGCTGATCCAAAACGTCAAGAAGAAATTTGCAGATGAGATCCACATCCTATAAAGCGACAACGAGATTTCGATATTATAATAGCTATCCCAAAATTTTATGGTAAGCTCCATATTGAAGTTTTTATTGATTGGTTAAGTGCAATTGAGAATTATTTTGAATGGAGTGAATTGCTAGAGGAACGTAAGGTTAAACTTGTTGCTACCAAGCTCTGCGAGTATGCTGCAGCCTGGTGGGAGCAAGTTCAACAATCCCGACTTCGTAGTGGAAAGGAAAAATTAAAAGATGAAAAAGAAACTGAAATAAAATTTTCTTCGTGATGATCATAAGCAAATTTTTTTCAAGTACTCAAAAATCTTCGACAGAATGAGAAAAAAGTGAAAGATTATACTAGAGAGTTTTATCAATTAGTTGCTCGAAACAACCTCCAAAAGACGAAAGGACAAAAGGTTGCTCGATATGTAAATGGCTTTCAACCAACCATTGGGGACGACGTTTTTCTACATCGGTCATGGACTTTAAGTGAAGCTTTTCATGGTGCTTTATGAATAGAAACTAAATATTATGGGAGCAGAGATAAGCGATTTTACACCCAGAAGGAGGTTTTGTGCCAACCAAAATTTAATGAAAGGAAAAAGGACACTGCAAAGTTCACATGTTATCGATGCAACGAACCAGGGCACTGTGTATATGAATGCCCAAAAAAGAGAATGGAGGTACACTTGGCTAAGGAAATGGACAAAGTTCCAGAAGAAAATTAAGTTCAAGAGATAGTCTTGCATGGTGATGAAGGGGATCCACTTTGAGTCAAGCTCGAGGTCGAGCTTCTTCCAACCTAAGGAAAATGCCGCAGAAGAAAAATTCCAAAAAAAATATTTAGTATTATCATTTTTATTTTTCTTAGAGATAGGAAAAGACAAGTTAGGAGGGCCTGAGTTTGGTGAGTGATTTGTTTTGGGAAGGTCTATCTTTTTAGTTTAGGGAATAATATATAAATAAGGTAAAGGCCCACCATCTAATTTTACTTTCTCTGTCGGTGTAACTTCCTTTATTTCTTAATGATAAGTCAACTTCAATAAAAAACATATATATATAGATAAGGTAAAGATCTTATGGTTTAGGAAATAATAAGTGGTAGTTATCTTTTACTCTGAAAAAAGCTAATGTGGAAGTTAGAATGAGAGAAAATAGGGATGGTACGTGAGATAGAGAAAAGGTGAGAGAGAAAATAGGGAGGAGAGATAAAATAGGGAAAAGCATGTAGAAGAGAGAGACAAAATTATCTTTGTGGGTTTTTTCTTTTGAAATTTATTTAAAGGGAGATGTCACATCATTGTAAAGGATCAGAGAATGATCAAAGAATGAGAACTAAGAAAAGTTGGTTTTGTGAAAAGATCTGAATTGAGAAAAGTTGATCTTATGAAAAGATCTGAATTGAATAAAGTTGATCTTGTGAAAAGATCGTTTTTGAGGTGGACTCCCTTGCAAACCTTGAGAAAAGGTATAATCTCTTGAACTTTTATTTTATTTTATTTTTATTGTTTGATTAGTTATTATTTTCTCTTTGCATCAACAAATGATAAATTCAAACTTTAGAAATTTGATGATATATAGATATTGTATATCCAATGACTTCAAAAAGGTCAATACAAGGATGCTATCTATGTTAAACACTTTATATGAGGACAAGACGCATTTTCAAATATAGGTTATTATTTTGAGATAATGGAAACCCACCAAAAATATATGGAATCCCTTTTTCACTTAGTTTAAAAGAAATGGAATCCATATGGTTTATGCATGTTGCTAATAAAGAACTATTACAAATATATGAACTATCGTGTTTAAAGTAATACTTGATGTTTGAAAGCTCCATTTCCACAGCTCACCAAGTTTGAGCCCCTAGACAAAGCTGACTTCCGCTTAAGTCGACTAAACAATGAACTTATTAATAAAATGCATGTTCATTTCAACATTAAGTACAAAAAAAAGAAAAAATTGGTTCTCGGATGAAATGGATGCTGACAAAGTACCGGAATAAACAATTGGTCCACCGCTCCAACATATCACCAATGTTAACAACAAATGCCCTGAAAAGCAAAAATAAAAATATAAATAAATATTAAAACTACAGAAAATAGTTTCCTACGTGCCAGTTTCAAATCCCAAAGAAGCCAACTGCATCAAATATATGGAGACACATAAACACACATTTCTCTCTTTTGTGTCTTCAATCCAAGTTGCATTTTTTTACTTAACCAATACACTCACAATCATACTTCCTCCTATGTCAGCAAATAGTGCCTTGATATGAGACTTTGAGGTTTTGATCCATTATTTTAGTGAAGGATTTGAGAATCTGATTCAAAAGCCTACCCTTTGAGGTGAGGTACATCCTCCCATATTTGTGGTTGCTTATCTTTTTCCCTGCAGATCTAAGAACATAGTTGAAAAAAATATAAATACGTTTGCCATTTTCTTTTTTCTTTTTTAAAGGTAGATAATAATTGGCAATTTTGAACACAAACAAGACTTGCCTGAAGGCCATTAACTCCATCTGTGAGCAAAAGTGTGATCATTCCATAATCAGAATGAGCAGATGCACCAAAATTTAAGTCCTCTGACGATGGAAGTTCACCTATGAATCAGATTCAAAAGCTATTTAACCCCAAAGAACAATGGAAATAATAGTTCCATAAAGTATCAGCCAACCAATATATTTTAGAAATTAATAAGAACAGCAATTAGCCTTCCTTGAGAAATACCACTTGCACCACTCCTTGCAATTAGAAGATCATCAACAATATATACAATCTATGATGGATAGCATAACGTGAGATAAATGCTTTGACCCAACAAAGCCAGTTCACACAAAAGTCTCCTAAATCTGGCTGTACTAAGGCCCATCCAGTAACTGATTCAGGTCCTGTTATAAAACGACGAAACACTCATCCTAACTCCAAGCCCTTCAAAAAATACATCATAGGCTCCTTCAAATTGTCCAGTAAGTAGCAAACAAACACCACATTTGGTTAGTCACTCCTTTCAAATTGTGCAATCATCAAGTTAATATATATCCATAAAACTGTTTAGATAATAAATACCTCTTTGTCAAAGAAGATGAGCTTAAAGTATCTCTCTACAAATCCATGGAAAGATATCTATAATTTGGGCATAAATGTGATAATCTTTCTTTGATATAGTTTATCTCTTTGTGCCACCAATATCATAAAAGACTTTTTCTTGATCCTTAATTCTTCCAAAAAGAAAAAAAGAGAATCAAATGCTAATATAGGAAATAATTTAAAAAGAACCATATGGCCTTCCAAAAATGGTGGCGTACATCACAAAATATAAATTTACTTTCTAGCCCTCCTAAGAATTATTCTTTTTTGTTTCTGTAAGGGAAAGGAGATTTTCGACACTGGTGTTTTACGATCATTCCTAAGTAATAGTTGCTACAGCTACAATCATTTCCAGCCAATGGAAGTAGAGATAGCATGTTAGCTCCTGGCCGGGAAAGGAGAGAAGGAAGAGGCAGTGGAAAATAAGCAAAGCAAGTGGAGGCAACGGAGGAAACATAAGGGCAGAAGATGGAGATACATGCATGTGCAAGGTATGATCGTATATGGCAGGGAGTGACACAGATGTGTTAACAATACAGAGGTCATACTAAGATAACCATCATGAAAATTTCATGTAACTATAAAAATACTAAAACATAGCAATAAAATTTAAATCTATATTATCTTTTTAAATATTCGTACTATGACTATTAAAAATGTATCATATTTACAGTTTATAACTATTTCTTGTACGGATGTGTGTCTCCATGTTGGCATTGTTTTGGATACCTTGTGGGACAACCTTCACACGCATTGAATGCCGACATTAAAGCATAACAAATGAATCCACGTACATGCTTCTTGACCAGAATCTTCTAAACTTGACAAAAATAATGGCAAATTATGTGACCACTCATATAATAAGTCCATAGGGGCTAGTTAGTCACAAAGTTCTATCATTTAGAATGTGTACGCATATGTGTGTGTTAAGATACATGAAGTTAAGATTTTTCTATATTAATGACCTGTAGCAACATTTGTAGACATCATTATCGATGTATTCAATCTCACCTGGATAATGTAAAAGACGAATAAATGCTGCTGGTGAATCTAGTGCACCCACTCTCATGAAGAAATCTTCGCTTAAGTTCAGCGCCAAAGCGATCAACGATATCACTCTAATCCCAGCACTCCTATGAAAGATGTAAAAAGGAAAAAAAATGAAGGAAAAAAGTCACCTTCATTATTCTCTCAATCTGCAAATGCAATGAAGTATCATTACCAAGACACATACATGCATGCATGTCATTGCAAAGAAATTTTCATAACTCTAAATTCTTGGTCTGTAGCATGTCTCAGATGTGGGCATGATCAAGTGATCCAATTAAGCTCATGATAAAAACTGATGGTATCCAAAGTTTAAGCAATTGAATTTTGCACATACGGCATTAGGGAGCCCTGCTAGGATGTCAAGGGCTTGGAGTAGTATTTTCTAAACTAAAGGAATCAAGTCTAGAAGGTGGAATTGGAGTACATTAAGCTCTTGCAATATGTTTAATGCTTTTTATTTTCTAATAAATCAGATGTGTAGTGTGGTTGTGATACATTCATAATCCATTTCACTCTAGTCAACAAATCTTCAAATGAAGGAATGGTTGGAAGATTTGTTGTCCCCAATTCATGAGGAACCACGGGGGTGAGAAGGTGATAAATCCAAGGAAGCTATTAGTGTTAATGGAGGAGGTCCATATCATGAGGACAATGAAAGAAGGACTTGTGTGATCTACCCGGAGTATATAATAAATTTTTTTTCTTTTTCAATTCTCTTTCTTTTCTTCACGGTCTAGATCACTTACAAGTAGTCTTTTTACAATATAATAACTTCTAATAAAATAAAATAGAAGAATAAAATAGGATCTCAAGAACTTGAAGCCATTCAAGACCTTTCTTTAAATGACAAAGAAAAGACACAACCTATGCTTGGGAATAAAAGACAATAAATAAATATGGAAGAAACAAAGAGGGTGCCGGAGATTACCTCAACCGGGCTTAGTACACCCCACACTGGGTCTCCTCCTTCCGATGGTGCTCGGTATCTTTGACCGGCTTCTTGATTTCTCCTTCTTATGGCAAAACCCAAACAATGCATATGTCCCAATCTAGAACCACCCACCTAAAGCCTCACTGCTTAGCCTAATTCCTTGGCTTGATGCTTATGAGAGATAGAAATTAAAAAATGAGAAAGAAAACTACTAGCTAGGGATGATCCTTTTGCTGCCCACAAAATCATATAACCAAACTAGCTTGATTTAGAACCCATAAGAGAGAGAGAGGTAGATTAGGGTGGGATGTGCCCCTTAGGTTTTTTGGAGAGAGAACTTATGTGGGGTGTGCCCCTTAGAGAGGTTAGAGAGAGATACTATTTTAGAGAGAGAAGAGAGAATACGTAAGAGGTATAGAGATAAGGGAGGAAAATGATCCCTTTTATAGATTTTTCATGCATTAGGATTTGCCACAAAATCGTAAGAGCAAATCTTGAACGTCGATCCAAGGAGACTTGTGGGGTGAGAAATGTGAGCCATCTATTCCCTAGATCCACCATCAAGATGCTAAGGAAGGTGCAAAAACCTTATCCTCCCCTTCCTCAATCTATTCCCATCAAATAAATTAAATAAGGAAATTATCTTTTTACTTTCTCTATTAGTAAATATTCATTCCTTATTTTTCAAATCAAACCTTCTTGATTAACAAGATATTCTAAAACTCAATATTATCATTCCTTAATGCCAGTAGGTCCAAAATGGACAGCCAATTAGCATGGGATGCCTCTCACCATATTTAGCAAGAAAAGGCAATCCCCTATGGGTGGGCGGTGTGCCACTCATGGGCCCCACCCAATTGTCCCATATGATTTAAATGGGCCTCCAATAATTATAGAGGGTCCCACATATTTTAGAAATAATTATAATAATTGATTTTTAGATTTTTCAAACCTTTTAGTTTATTTAAAACTTTAGAAATGAATTTCTCTTGATTTATAAATCCAAATGACAAAATTAAAATATTAGAAGATTCATAAAAATCCAAATAAACATTCTAAAAATCAAATAACATAAAATTAATTAAATTAAATTAATTTTGATGGGAATAATATCCGAATATGTCTAGGATTTAATCAACGCAAGGAGCACTCCACCTTCAATTGTGGACCACGATCCATACTAGCTTTCTCAAACTGACCCAGCAGTTCCCATGACCCACAGTCCACTGCAGGGGCTCATAATTGGACCTCCAAAGTCAATCAATGGGCTAGGGGACGTAATCTCAGCCTTTGGATTTCAAGTTCTCCCCTAGAAACAAACCATGATCCGTCAGCCCATGATGCAACCATGACTCTATGGTCCATAGGGGTAATCTCTTGCACATATGCATGCTACATCCTCAAAGGTGGATTACTATCTCAGTACGGTTATCTATGTACATGTCATATGATGATACAACAATGAGATTTTAGTCATGTCTTTATAGACTATTCATCACACACAAGGGTCACACAGTCCCTCGGCTCTCATCCGGTTATATTCCCACCTCATCAAGGGTTAACCCACTAAACCCTCCTCGGTTATATCTTTATGCCCAGGTACAATGGGTTTTTCCAACTCGGCTGACCTAACACGTCGAGCCTAGTTTGAGTATCGGCAAATTGCATTTGCCAAGTATGGTCCACAAGATGACCACACTCCCACTAAGTTTATGTTTCACTATATACAATGCTCATACAAGCTCTCATAAGGCCTTTAAAGGCCACATAAACCCAACAAAGAAGAGTTGATAGATGACTTTAGAAACGTGATAGCCATAGGTGTTTTTAGTCAGATCCTTGCCATCTCATTTTTAGTTGATGGGACGTGAAGGTTCCCAAGCCACCTCATGGTGAAACTATTCGGTCCAACATAAGTGATTTCATCCTACCAGTAGGTTATTTGTAATAAGATCATTGCCAGATATCACCTTTGACGTGGAGGTTTCTAAATCACTATGAGTTATATCACGTTCAATACGATAAGACATTGGATCACCTCCTTTTGCTTTGTCCAATAGCAAGAGGAAACTGGTGTGCGTTTGGACATTACAAGGATTAGGATCCATGACTCTCTGCTATAGTGCACAGCTTTTTTTTTTCCATGCGTCCCTTTTTTTTTTTACAAAAAAAGTTGGACAATCAGCTCATGTAAAGAGAGATCAATAAAAATTTTCTAGGGCACACTCAACTTGGACGCATTATGAAAGAAGAACGTAGTACATGATTTCAACAACTCTTATTGTCAAGGAATCCAGGAGGGTCAAGGAGATAGGCCAAAAATGGAAAACGCTAACAACAAGTAGAGTTTCCAATCAAAGAATTAATAATAAGTGAAGTGCAGCACCCCTGAATATGTCACAAGCTCAAACTTAATAGCATCTCTCAAAGGAACCCTACCCTAGCTAATGTGGGCATCGACTCTTTAGACACTGTTGGAAAGGTCTTTGGCCTTTTATGGTTTTGCAGATTTTGGCAATTTCAGATTGACATAAACTCATTCTCTCTTTGTGGGGTTGAAGGTATTCTTTCTGGGCCCCTAGTGGTGGAAGCTGATTCAACTATATGGCTGATTCCACAGCTAAGGAGGGTGATACTAGTGCGATGCAAGTGACTCTTTATAAAAGGGGAAAGATCTGATAGTTCTAATTGTTTCCTATATGCGTCCTGTATTCATCACATCTCCATTGCAACTTTATGTATATTTTATTAATATTTAATGAAGCAATCAATTAATATAGAGAAGGAAATAACCCTAGTGTTGCCGCTGAATGTACAGATAAAAAACTACACTTTCTGCTGATATTACATTATGCATTAATCCCAGTCCATATCCAAAAAAGACACCTTCCCAGCTCCAAATTCAGTATAAGATGAAGTCTATTATTTCATCGTTTAATTATACTATATATTGACCAAGTCATATATAGAAGGATGCCTTCAGTCTTCAGAAATCAAGTTATTAACACAAAACAACTGGTAATCAGAAACTAAGATCGATTAAAAGCACAAAAAACTTACAAGACCTTGTCATAATAAGCTTCCATTGTGGCTCTCCAATGGGGCAAAGTAGCTAAAGGCACCAAATAAGGAGAATCAATTAAACCATGTTAAAAAATTTGTAAGGAAGACAGGCTCAGATAAAACCAAGACAAATACTTTCAAGGATAACACTGAATCCTAAAAGTATAAATAAAAAAGTAGGAGATTAGCCTTTCAAAGAAAATCCAGATATGCGTCGAAAGGTCCACCAAGTTATAATGGAACATAAGCAGTGTAGTTTATGTATACCGACATGCTTATGAGTCTCCATGCAATATATAATATCGCCAAAAACATGTGAAGAATGTCCAGTAAAACAATTATGACACCTTCGGAAGGCCACTGATTTACATCATCGATATGTGTTTCTTGTGAGGAACTGCCTTCAATAGGCACAGGGCCAATGTAGAAGCTCTCCTTCGAGTCCCCTGTTTTCCATTATAATGAATAAGGATCACTTTGGTTCTCTAGAAAATTCATCCAAATTGAAACAAGAAAACTTAAATATCGAGGGGGATTAAAAACATTGCAAGAATTCAAAGTGCTCAAGGGAAAAAACAAGAAAGTACATAATTGTTCAGAAAACTACAAAAAAGTTTATTCTTTTCATAATTGAAAAGACTCCTATGTCCTTTGAAAACCCAAAAGCATCCCAACTACTAACAAGATTGAGACCACCATTAATCACTATGTCAATAATCCTAAATTATCTACCTCTTTGAAATGCAAGTTTGCTAAGACAATATGAAGCATAACAGCACCAAACTCATGTACCACCATCGAAATTTGAATTTCAAGTGTTTACAGAGTTGCCAAGAAGAAAACCTACATCCAAAAGAATTAGAAAGCTTAAATTGTTAAAGTTTCAATACCTTAAATCTAAAGACCAACAGCCATTTCTTCAATGTTCAAATGGCTAATCGTCAAGCACAAAGAATGTGTGACTTTTATCTTATTACTACTACTCCTTTACAACTAATCAGAGGTGCCAATTAATTTCAATGATTTCCATTTTCATAACTTATTTATCATTTATAAGTCAAAATATTTATAATTTAGGAATAAACAGCTAGCAAAAAATCCACAAAATTGAATAGCCATTTGTACGAAATCATGAACTAAAAAGAACAGCATTAACAGTGAACAAATAGCATAACCATAGCAAGAGAGTGCAAGTAGAAGTAGCAATAGCAATAGCAGTAGTAATTAATATTACTAATAACAGTCGTAGAAGAAGAAGCCATAGTACTAGCAGTAACAGTACACCTCTGGTAGTCGAGGTAGTATGATGCACGACAACTCAATTGGTTCAAGTAGTAATAGCAACAGTAATAGTGGCTTTGTGATAAAACATTGCCAGCATATTCACTATACCAGGATTTTCTCATGATACATGTATCAGCAGTAAAAACTAATGCATATTCATGATAGTTTGAAATTATTGTGGATTTATGGGCATTCCCTTATTATTGTTATACAACATTTGCTCGGGTGGTCAAGGCAGTGGAGCCACACCCTGATGTCAAGGGTTCCATCCCTACCCATTTAACATGTCAAAAAGAAATGCCCATTTTATGGGGAATCAAGTTAGAAAAAGAAAAATAGGCTGGAACCATTACTTAATTTAAATTCAAATTTTCAAATCAAGTTAATCCATAAAAAGTATCCACCCATATAGCAACTTCTAGTAATGCATTCAGTTACCTAAAAAAGCTCAAACTATGGAAGTGAAACCTCCGTTCCCAAATAATCTAAGTATTGGCAACTCATATTTGAAATTTAAATTAAACACTAAAGCATACCTTCTGTAGCTTACTTACATTTTTGGTTGGCAACTTATTTTTTAAAATTAATTCTCTAGAAATATAATATTTTCAAAATTATTAACGAGTTTCCTTTGGTTAAAATAATAGTTTTCACATTTTACTACATTGAAGTAAACATTATTTCTAAAACATAATTTGATTTGTTTATATTACACCTGGTAAATCTAGCAAATTCCCTTGTAAAAAAGAGCCTAAGAATTATAACCCACTAAAATCCCTGACCAGTAATATACTAAGGACCATATGAAATAAGAATAATAGTAGCAGCAGTAGTATAGAGCAATGATTCAAAAATCACCTGTATGACACGGGACTGGATGTGGAGGCCGGCAATTCAGGGCTGGAAAACCCCATCATTGTCTGAGACTCCTAATTTTCTAGTTCTTTTGAAACTTCTTTTTGTTAACTATATCCATGTCCATCTCAGGAATTGCCCAAGTCGGACCAGTTAATTTGGAATCATACCCCTAGCGAGTTGCAGCCCGATTCTTATTTTTTAATCACTGGTATGAAGAACTGCAAGGCTATAGTAGTAACAGTTTCACAAACCACAAGGGTATAGAGCTACAGTAGTGCTATGTCAATGTCATCTAGGAATTCAATGAACGTTGGTTCAACAAATATTGTACAGAAATGAATTCAAAATGATTAAAGGCAGTTATTTTATATCAACCTTTAGACTTTATTGAAGTGTCAAGAGTCTCCACGTACAATGGTGTATAGCCCCTGTGATCCTTATTACGTGATAACTCCAACTTTTCTTGTATTGAGAGCTGAAAAAACTTCTTGCTTTGATCAAATACTTGCTCAAACATGTCTTCATCAATACCATGGTTTATGAGGTAGAAAAAACCAGAATCGACGCATGCCTGAAAACTTCAAAACAAATCAATTTATTCACTAGCAAAATTCATTTCGAGAAGTTCCATATAAGCAATGGATATAGGTTACCGAAGCAAGATGTAATTAAAAAAAAATAAAAAATCTCATGAGCAGCAATAATGAAATATTACAATAATTGATGAACACCTTGATAGAAAAAATAAAGTAGCATGCTGCATATTATCTTTCCATCATTTAGATATAAAAGTAACAGCAATTCCTTGGGCATCTGCCAAGGTAATATGGTTAAATGTATTTTCTCATATTTAAAAAATTGACAATTACTTTTGATTATAAAAATTTAATAATTCATGAGCAGAAATTTTCCCCAAATTCTATTAATTTCACTAAATAAATCAAGCTGAAACGTTCCAACCAAAAAAAAAAGCGACATGGTGAACTGTTATACTAAATGAAAGCTTCCTTAAAAAAAATGAATAGAATAAAACATATGGTGGCAAAAATTAGAGAGAGAGAGAGAGAGAGCCTGGCGTATTAGTCTTGAAGTGGCAACGCGATCGGGAGAAGACAAATCGATGATGGGAAAAATTAGGGTTTTAGCTGCTGCTTCTTGCGCCATTCGAGCCCCTGAAGTTTCACCCGAAAAAATATGCATTTGGCGGCAATACTCAGATATGTAAAGCTCTTAGGGCCTGTTTAGACGAAATTTTAAATTTTTTCAAACAAAGTCTTATCTAAAAGGGAAATTCATCAAATTACCTACAATAGATTGAGTGGTACCCATATTTTTATTTTTTTTAGAGGATTGTAAACTATGAGGTTATTTATCTTTGGTGTAAGGAGGTCACAATTAATCTGAACTGTTAGATTTTCGATTGAATGGCTTATGGTATATCACAAAGCTCAATATATTTTTTTGTTGAAAATTTGAGTTTGGTCAAAAGTACACTCACAACCATCTAATTTGAAATTTGATGAATAAAAATGGTTGAGAATTCTTTGTAAAATAAATAAATGGCCTCTTTGTATACTTTTCCCTTTTTTTGTGTGATTTTTATAAGGTTTCAAGTTAAAACAATCAAATTAATGAGCTCATCCAAACTTTGTTATGAGATGTGATTTTATTGTCGAAAAATCTTAAAATAGTAAGAGCAAGTATTTTTATCTTATTATAAAATTTTAAACTTAAAAAATAGTTTAAATCAAGTAGATTTACAGATATGAAAATATTGAAAATGGGCGGTCGAGAAAATGTGTTGCAAGATGCATTATTTTTGTGACTTCAAATTTCTTTTTTTCTCACAAATAACATCAAAGTCACCCTTTTTTTGTATGATTTTAGAGATACACTTTGATTCTATATTTTAAGGTGTCAAGCCTTCTATAATTTTTTTCTTTTCTTTTTTTATTGGGTGTGGTTTGCATAAGGTTGCAACTTAAACAATAAAATAAAGGTGTACCTCTAAACTTAGTCACCATATACACTTTTAGTGTAAATAATTCATATGATGGTGTGGGAATCTATAGTTATCTCTAATTATAATATTTTAAACTCCACAAATAGTTCAAATCAAGCAGATTTATGAACATATTAAAATCTTGAAATTTGATAATCTAGATAATACGTTGCAAGATATACTAATTTCTAACACTTGAAATATATATATTTTTCCATACCTACACATCTCGATGTCAATCAATAAGATGTTTTTCCAATCATCAAAAAGACATTTTTCGAAAGATTCCAGTAGTGCACATTAATTCTACATTTTCAAGGTGTTTAGTAGTGGACTTTAATTCTAAACCGCGGAAAAACCAACTGACCTAGTGGGCGAGTCCAGCAACCTTGCCAAGTCCAATTTGACCCAGCCGGTTCTTCCACCAGTGCATCTTCATTAGGGTCAAGAAGTGCGACTTTCTTTTATTATTAAGGATTATGCCTACTACATTGTGTTATTAAGGTTTATGCCTACTACATTGTGAGATCAGTTACATTTAAAAAATGGTATATATAAGATATCAACCTTATACTATAAAAGTGAAGCGCACCTCACAAATACTCCAAACCAATGGTTAAAAAAAAGGATCGATGATTCGGATCGGGCTTCCAAAAAACCGATCCGGTTCGACAAATCGACGATCCGGATCGGGAATCGGTCAGAATAAAGCTTAAAAAAAATCCGAAAAAATTATTAAAATTCATTATAAATGTTGGTTTTTAGGAATTCAATAAGAAATGAGGGTACTCCATTAAGAATTTTCATGTTTTTGAATGAATATGCGAATATTTATATGTTCTTTCCCTGCATGAACAGCCATTCAGCATTTAATTTACATCACACAAAAGGATAAATATAGAATTATCATTGAATAAGTATATCAACATGCATGGACTACAATAAAGCATAAAATTAGTAACATATGATCTAAAAATAAAATGATAGACGACGTTATTATTCTTCTTGGTCACGTTGGTGCCATTGATTGAATTTGTTTAACAATTCATTGCTTCGATCTAAAAACAAATCATTGATATTAGCAGGCGTCTGACTATTCCCAAATCCCTGAATGTTAGTGTTTTGTTGTGTTCCCAATCTAAAATCCCCCAAGATTGTCCATCCTTCATGCTCACCTGCACTGTTGTTGTTGGGACTCAATATGTGAATAATATGGCTGGGATAGGGTGGCCTCAAAATCATCATCTCTCTAATTTTCTCTTTGAATAATATGGATTAAAAAATAATAATAACAAATTTTCAAAAAAATCGATCATAGATTAAAAAAAAAAAATCACAAATTTTCAAAAAATTCTCTCATGGATTACAAAAAAAAATTCGATCATGGATTAAAAAAAAAAAATCACAAAGTTTCAAAAAATTCTATCATGGATTGTAAAAAAAAAATCGATCATGGATTAAAAAAAAAAAATCACAAATTTTCAAAAAATTCAATCATGGATTACATAAAATTCGATCATGGATTACAAAAAAAACAAAAAATTCAATCGTGAATTACAAAAAAAGAAAAAAACAATTCGATCATGGATTACAAAAAATTCAATCATGGATTACAAAAAACTCTATCATGGGTTACAAAAAAAACAAAAACAAAAAATTCGATCATGGATTCAAAAAAAAACAAACAATTTCGATCATGGATTCAAAAAAAAACAAACAATTTCGATCATGTATTACAAAACAATTCGATCATGGATTACAAAAATTACTATCATGGTTACGAAAAAAAACAAAAAATTACGATCATGATTACAGAAAAAAACAAACAATTACGATCATGATTACAAAA